AAAAAAAAAAAAAAAATACCAGTGAGAATCAAATGGCATCATGTGGAAATATTTTTTAAACTCCCACACTGCTATGTATGTGTCAACATTATTATTATTATTATTGGTTTATTTGTTTGGGAGATGAGATCAAGGGGAGAAATACATGATCTAAATGGGGGTTAAAATGGTAACTTTAAGAGACGAGAATAATTGTGTTCACCTCGTTTGATTGCTACACGGAGATGGTAAATCTGACAAACCAGACAATGATTAAGTGGCAAATGGTGATTATGAAAAAGACTAGGTCATTCACTGTGCCCATGCCATTATAAAACTCTTCATTGGTTGCTAAACTTCACTGAGACTTCAGCCTTTTTCAGCTGAGAGAGGGAAAGCACTCTGCTCAGGAAGGAACTGAACTTAAGATGTAGGTACGATGAACCATTCCAGCTCACTCCTGGCTCCGGAGTTGAGCAGCTGGCCCTCTGGACTCTCACTGACCCTCGGGTGAGACGCCCTGCGGAGCTGTACCTGTATGTGTCCTTCGATGAGCCTTCAGGTGAGAACTTTTCGTGTACACTTTGTTGCATCCCTCAAAATCACATCTGTGAATACGCCGTTTTCTGGAGTCTGGGGATTCAGACCGTCTCTGGCGTCTTGTGCTCTCAATACTAAATGGTGAGATTGAACTGGAAAAAGAAAAAGGAGAGGTAAACAGTGAGAAACACGGCACTCTGTTTGGGTTCGAGTGGCATGAGATCTTCATCTCACAGTGTACAGCTTCAGACAGACGCAAGGCCCCGCGTCCACGTTTCCCAGACACGTTTCATTTCTCAATCTCAAAGGCAGGCAGCTTGATCTATTTCTGGTGAAACACCCCTAGGGAGGGAAAGACATGCTTAAAACAAGACAGAAAACAAAAATGAAATGAAAGCAGTGGTAGGTGAGTAAATCCTCATTATTGAATAGAAACAGGCTGGTGGTAATAAAATTAGACCCAACATTTTGAACTTCTGAGTACACTCATAGAGAACATTCTACGAAGTCCTGCTATAGACAAGTGACAAAAATAAAAGCATTTAATAAGTAACACGAGGGTCTGAACTTCATGTGACAACACAGAAAATCGTGTAAAATCACAATGTACATTTCAAAACAAGTGAGGTTGGGCTGAAAGAAGTACATCAGTACATCAATTACATGACTCATGACAAGCTATTCCTGTTTGGTAAAATGCACCTGACATTTAACTTTTACAGTTGGTGGTTTTTCACGGTGAGGAATAAAGTTCATTGTATTTAAAGATTAGCTGTACCACCATTAAGAAAAAAAGTTTAACTATGAAATTTGGCCCAGACATACACGTTGTTTAATCTTGACGCCACAGCAGAAAAACAGGATTAGCTTGTAATACCAGATAACTGATTACCATGCACTGCGTCAAACCTTAATCTCTTCTGATCGAGACAGAAATGAAGAACATGACTCATATTTTTTATTCATGAAGTTTTAAAAAACTACAGTGGAACAGAATGAAATACTTCTATACTATACCATACTTCTGCTATAAAAAGTTTACCAGTTAATATTTTGACATATTTTCTTCAAGCTTTCTCATGTTTTGGTGCTTTTAAAAAGTATTTTGTATTAATAGCCCTGGCTGGTGTGGCCTGCACATGAAGGGTTGTGGGTTCAATTCCTGGCCCAGGGCATGTACCTGGGTTTTGGGTTCGCTCCTCACCCCAGGTCAAGGGTGTGTGACAGAGGCAACCAGTCAATGTGTCTTTCTCACATCAATGTTCCTCTCTCTCTCTCTCCCCCTCCCTCCCTCCCTCCCCTCCACTCTCTCTGAAAAAGCAATGGCAAAAATATCCTCAGGTGAGGAT